CCGTGGGGCTGTCTTTCATGTGTGAGTTGTGTCATGAGATGCACACACGTGCGTGTGAGGGTGCACATGTTTGTACATGTAGAGGCCGGAGCGGGGTGTTGAGTGTTGCACTCTGTCTCTGCCCCATTACCTTGAGACAGGGTCTCTCACTGCACCTGCAGCTCACCATTCAGCCAGGCTAGCTGGTCAGTGAGTTGTTGGGATCTGCCTGTCTCCAACGCCACCCTCCCCAGTGCTGGCATTATCAGCATGCTCAGCTATGCTTGGTTCTAACATGGGTGTTGAGGATTTGAACTCAGGTCCTCATGCTGGGGAGAAGCTCAGTGGGCAAGAGGCACTGGTCTGCCTTTTTGTGATTGGGAAGTCTGATATGTATCCTGGAAGATGTTACTGTAAATATTTATGAGTATCCATCAGTTTCCATCTCCATCTCTGTCTCCATTGCTGTGTGGCCTGGAAAGCCTGTGGCGATACTCCTGCCTCCGTCTCTGCTTTTGAAGTGCTGGGGTTACAGGAGAGTGTGCCACACACAGTTCATTTTCTGAATGATACCCTTTGTATCAAGAAGGTTTTAATAGTAATGAAGTTGACCTTGCCGACATTTATTTTTGGTTACATGTGGTCTTGGTGTCATAGCTTAAAGCTATCAGAGAGCACACAGCACAGAGGTTGCAGCTGTGGGTCCTGTGTTTCTATCGCACGCCTCCACTTGGAGTGAGTTCTGTGTGGTGGAGGGGAACCAGCCTCATGGTCTCATGAGGGTCCCATCCTCCCAGCACATTTCTTGAAAAGACCCCCCCCCCATTTATACCAATGGCTCCTGGCTGTAGGAGTTTGTATCTGAGCCTGTGTGTGGTGGTGCACATCCTTAATCCCAGCACTTGGGAGGCAGAGGCTGGCAGATCTCTGTGAGTTCGAGGACAGCCTGGTCTGTAAAGTGAGTTCCAGGACATCCAGGGCTACACAGAGAAACAACCTGGAAGAAAAAAGTTTGTATCTGGGCTTTCACTTCTGTTCACTTCATCTGTTTGTCCTTAGTTATGCCAGGACTTCAGTGTTTCAGTTGCTGTAGCTTTGTTGTTAAAAACTTATTTTTTTTAGGACTGGAGGGATGATTCATTGGTATGCTCCTTTAGAAGACCTGAGTTCAGTTCCCAGCACCTGTGGGAACTCCAGTTCCAAGTGAACCAATACACTCATCTGGCCTCAGTGGGTACTGCACACATAATTGCATACACACACACTATCTTAGGGTTTTTATTGCTGTGAAGAGATACCATGAGCACAGCAACTCTGTGTGTGTGTGTGTGTGTGTGTGTGTGTGTGTATGTATGTATGTATTTTGGGGCAGGGTTCCTCTGTAGTTTTTGGAGGCTGTCCTGGAACTCACTCTGTAGACCAGGCTGGCCTTGAACTCACAGAGATCCTCCTGCCTCTGCCTCCCGAGTTCTGGGATTAAAGACAGAGCACAAAAACTCTTATAAAGCATTTAATTGGGGCTTAGAGTTCAGAAGTTGAACCCATTGCCCTCATGTTGGGAAGCATGGTGGCACACACAGGCATTCCAGACATGGCGCTGGAGAGGCAGCTGAGAAGCTCTACATCTGGATTGGCAGGCATCAGAAAAAGAGAGTAACACTGGGCCTGGCTTGGGCTTCCTCTGACGAGGCCACACCTGCTCCAACAAGGCCACACCTCCCAATAGTGGCTGCTACTCCTATGAGCCTGATGGGGCCATTTTCATCCAAATCACCCCCCCCCACACACACACACATACACACACATAAGTTTGAATAGAATTTTAAAAACATTAAAGTATTAAAGTATTCTAGTTACATATGTGTGGTTTCGTGTGTGTACACGAATGTGTGTATGTGTTCACATGCACCTGTGTGGGTGGCCATTGAGTAAATGTTGAAATCAGGAAATTTGAGTTCTCCAACTTTTTCAGGCTCCCTTTAGCTGTTTTGTGTTCCTTGTGTTTGTGCATGGACTTGAGGTTAAGATCAGCTGTTGGTACAGATTGCAGGCCTGCACAGCAGTTTTGGGGTGGCTAACACATCTCCGTCAGGAGCCCAGAGTCAACTCACTTCCCATATCAATTTCTCTCAACATTTTGAAGTGATTTTCTTTCTTCTTTCCCTTCTCTCTCTCCCATCTCCTTTCTCTCTTCCCATTTGGATTTTCTGAGACAGGGACTCCCTCTGTAGCCCAGGCTGACATCTTTTACGTCCCAGTCTTCCTGCCTCAGCCTCTGCAGTGATGGATTGCAGGTGTGTCCACTTCTCTCAGCACCCACCAAAATACAGTTTTTCTTTTTCCCTTTGTGTGTGTGCACGCATGCATGTGGGTGTGTGGGTGTGAGGTATGCCTGTGTGTGTATATGTATATGTGGGTGTGATGTATGTGTGCCCCTGTGTGTTTGTGTGATGTATGCCTGTGTGTATATATATATGTACGTGCATGCTTGCATGCATGTGTGATGCATGTGTGCCTGTGTGTTTGTGTGATGTATGCCTGTGTGTGTATGTGTGTGTGTGCATGCTTGCATGCGTGTGTGATGTATGTATGCCCCTGTGTGTTTGTGTGATGTATGCTTGTGTGTGTATATATGTGCGTGTGCATGCATGCATGCCTGTGTGATGTATTGTGCCCCTGTGTCTGTGTGATGTATGCCTGTGTGTGTATACATATGTGTTATGCTTGCATGCGTGTGTGATGTATGTGTGCTCCTGTGTGTTTGTGTGATGCATGCCTGTGTGTATATATGTGTGTGTGTGCATGTTTGCATGCGTGTGTGATGTATGTGTGCTCCTGTGTGTTTGTGTGATGCATGCCTGTGTGTATATATGTGTGTGTGTGCATGTTTGCATGCCTGTGTGATGTATGTGTGCCCCTGTGTGTTTGTGTGATGTATGCCTGTGTGTGTATATCTGTGTGTGTGCGCATGCTTGCATGCGTGTGTGATGTATGTGTGTGCCTGTGTGTTTGTGTGATGCATGCCTGTGTGTATATATGTGTGTGCGCATGCTTGCATGCGTGTGTGATGTATGTGTGTGCCTGTGTGTTTGTGTGATGCATGCCTGTGTGTATATATGTGTGTGCGCATGCTTGCATGCGTGTGTGATGTATGTGTGTGCCTGTGTGTTTGTGTGATGCATGCCTGTGTGTATATATGTGTGTGCGCATGCTTGCATGTGTGTGTGATGTACGTGTGCCCCTGTGTTTGTGTGATATATGCCTGTGTGTGTATACATATATGTTTTATGCTTGCATGCGTGTGTGATGTATGTGTGCCCCTGTGTTTGTGTGATGTATGCCTGTGTGTGTATATATGTGTGTGTGTGCATGCTTGCCTGCGTGTGTGCAGTATGTGTGCCCCTGTGTTTGTGTGATGTATCCCTGTGTGTGTATATATGTGTGTGTGTGCATGCTTGCCTGCGTGTGTGCAGTATGTGTGCCCCTGTGTTTGTGTGATGTATCCCTGTGTGTGTATATATGTGTGTGTGTGCATGCTTGCATGCGTGTGTGATGTATGTATGCCCCTGTGTTTGTGTGATGTATGTCTGTGTGTGTATACATATATGTGTTATGCTTGCATGGGTGTGTGATGTATGTGTGCTCCTGTGTGTTTGTGTGATGCATGCCTGTGTGTGTATATATGTGTGTGTGCATGCTTGCATGCGTGTGTGATGTATGTATGCCCCTGTGTTTGTGTGATGTATGTCTGTCTGTGCATGCCTTTGCATGTGGAAGTGTACGCCAGTGGAGGATGTTGAGTGGCCTCCTCATCACATTCTGCCCAATTGGCTTGAGACACAATCACTGAGCTTGAAGCTCGCTGTTCAGCTGGCTGGCTGGCTGGCCAGTGAGCTGGAATCCACCATCACTCAGTTACAGGCACTCAGCCATGCCTGGCTGCTTCATGTGGGGGCTGGGATTCAAACTCTGATCTTTTGTTTGCACAGCAAGCCATCTGACCCATTGAACCATCTCTCCAAACCCAGAATACAGTTTCAGTATGGAACTCATTTTTTGAAAATTTTTTGGTCAAATTCATTTCTGAGTACTTTATTCATTTTAATGTCATTATAAGTTTGATTGCTTTTTAAAAATTCATTTCCAAGTTGTCCATTACTAATGTATAGAAATATATTTTCATGAAACTGGAGAGAGGGCTCAGCAGTTAAGAGCACTGGTTGCTCCTGTCGAGAACTGGAATTTAGTGTCCAGCACCCACGTGGGGCAGACAGCTCTCAGCTGCCCACAACTTCAGCCCCGGGGTGTCTGACGCCCTCTTCTGGCCTCCTAGACTGCTACAGATGTGCACACACTGCACACATAATTAAAATTAAATTTTAAAAGTGTCTAATTTCTCTGGGTGGTGGTGGCGCACGCCTTTAGTCCCAGCACTTAGGAGGCAGAGGCAGGCGGTCTCTGAGTCCGAGGCCAGTCTGGTCTATAGAGTGAGTTCCAGAACAGTTAGGGCTACACAGAGAAACCAAAAACAAACAAAAAAGTGTATAATTTCTGTTTTTATAAATGTATAACCTCACTGAACTTTTTGGTGAATTATGATGCTTTTGTAGGTTTCTAATGTTGTTTCTATACAATGGGCGCTGTCCCTTATGTCTTCTGTCTCTCCTGCTGTGTGCTAACCAGAGCCTCCAGAACAATGAGTACCAGATGGTGGTGTGCCACCCTTTAAAAAAAGACTTATATTTTTATGAATTTTAATAATGTTCATATGTTTGTCAGGGTTGGGGTGGTGGATGCACTTGTGTGTTGGGGCCACAGAGTCCAGGGGTACTGGGTCCTGTAGAGCTGGAGTTACAGCTGCTTGTGAGCCGCCTGGCGTGGGTGCTGGGAATTGAACTCCAGGTGTGAATGTGAAGCTTTTTACTTTTTCTGTAGGACAGTGAGTAGTGCTGTTCTGATCAAGTGTGGAAAGGTGTGACTTAGGCTTTCTTCCATGCATTGGCTGAAGAACTGTTTCTCAGTTTCTCTCTCTCCTGCAGGTTTTCTCAAACAATGATGACGGCCTTATTAACAAAAAGTTACCCAAGGAGCTCCTCTTAAGGTAAGTGCACACACCTTAAAGAGCTCGGGTTTGGCTCGGGTCGCCAGGTGCAGGACAACCCCTGTCTTAGTGCATTCCTGAGCTAGGGCAGTTCAGAGCCGGCCTGGCTTTCTGGTTTTGTCTTATAGAATTGCCATCCATTCAGCTTGTTCCTAAGGCTGGCTTGGTCTACTCCAGAATGTGCCTTTATTAACTCGTTTTGTAACGTGACTCATATTGTCATATGTACCGTCAGGAGGTGCCCTTGTTGGGTATGACTAGATAATTATAAATCAATTATTAAGTCGGGGAAAGGTGATTGCTACAGTTGTGAACTCTTGGGGTCAGAGAGTTTGGCACATTTTCTAAGAGGTGAATTATTCAACAGTTACAAAAGGTGTGTGGTTATGATGGCCTTACCAAGCAGCTGGCGTGCTGTCCCCGAGGAGAATACATGGTAAGTGGTGGCACTGGAAAACAAAAGGACATCCAGGTGTCCATGTACTGCTGTGCTGCTAGTCATTTTAGAGTCTGCAGTCTTCGGGTGACACCGCTGGCCACTAGGCACTGCAACCTCTTTTTTTTTTTTTTTTTTGATTCTGCAGTTATCAAATGTTGGTTGTGGAGGGCTGCTACATCTTAATTCTTTACAAATAATTGACTTATGTGCATGTGACCATCCTTGAGTGGTGTTTTCCAAACTGTTGCCAATATCCCCCAAAACAAGAAACAGGCTCTGATGCAAGGATGGTACAGGGTATCTTGGAGTCTGGAAGGTTGGCATGCATGGTGATGGCCTGGGGTGAGGCCAGACGTTTGCAGTGTTTTGTGAAAGTTGTAGGAGATGCTTGCTTACATCTAGAGAGAGTGGGCCTCAGGACTGCACACTCTCTGGCTACACTGTATCTTTTTGATTTCAGAAACGAGTCTGTGTTTTGCTTGATCAATGGGGGTAATTCTTTATGTATGTTACATTTATTTATTTGGGGTAAGGTATGCACATCTGTGATACAGTGTGCACCCGTGGAGGAGGTTAGAAAACTCTTGTGTGAGTTGGCTATGTCCCATGGGTCCCAAGGGCGGGACTCAGAGCAACAGCCTTGGTGGCAGGTGCCTTCACTTACTGGGCCATCTTGTCCACCTGAGGGTAAATTTTTTTCTCTTTTGGGGTTGACAACAAGTTGCCAGGCCTCCCCCTGCTGCCATATGATGTTAAACTTTTTCTCTTGAGTCAGTCAGGGTGAAAACTTAGCTAGGGGCCCCAGAGTGTTTAGTCTCCAGGGGTTGTCTGGCACTGTGCTTACTAATTAGTTAATGAAAACAGTAACTAAGTCAGGGCTGCGTGAGAAAGGTTGTTTCTGTTTTATTCCAATAAGATATTTGCATAAGAGAATCATCATTGAATTTTTTTTTCCAAGACAGGGTTTCTCTGTGTAGCTCTGTAGACCAGGCTGGTCTCGAACTCACAGAGCTCCACCTGCTTCTGCCTCCCGAGTGCTGGGAATAAAGGCATGCACCGTCAGTGTCCAGCTTCATCTTTGAGTTTTTAAATTCAAAATGGTGACAAAGGGTTGGATGGCCCTCACTGACACGGGCTTCAAAAGACTGAGGAGCCGTTGGATCCGGGGTGGACTGTTGTCACCATACAGGGATATGGTCCAGGCAGCTTCTACCCTCAGTATGAGTGACTGTCAACACAGGCCTCAGGCTGCTTGCTATACATGTGACACTGGTGCTCTGGGGAGCCACATCCGGCTTCAGGCGGCCCGGGCATTAGTCACTCTTGACTAGGCTGTGAGTAAACCCCACCCTTCTCCCCAGTGCTGGTGTTTGTGACTCGGGGCCACTAACTTCCCTTTCCCCTGTGCTAGGGTGAGCTTTTATACTCAGCCACAGCGTAGTTTCTATTTGCTGATACTAGGGAATGCAACTCAAAATAAGGGATTCTGTCCCTCTCTGTGGTCATGTGATTTCTGAACCCGGATTAGTTCTTTAGGTTGTCTTTCTGTGGAGTCACCAGCCTGTGGCACCCGAAGCTGACCTAACTATGGGTTGAGTGTCACAGACATTCCAGAATTGTTTGGCCACTGCATGGCAGTCTTGGTTGAGAGCTGTGAAAATGCTTGAAGAATGAACACGTGGAAGACATTGGGGAGCAGGGAGCGTGGAGCAGAAGCTGGTGCTCCAGAGGGGCCTAAAGACAGGTTCCAGCCTCAGGCCCCAGCTGAGAGAAGACCATAAGAACAGGGGATTCCTCTCCTTCTGGTCTCCAGGCTCCGCTTGTTTTTAAAAGATTTATTATTTTTAATCACGTGTGCTTGTGCCTAAGTGGGTATGTGCATGGGAATGCAATGCCTGAAGTGTCCAGAAGAGGGCATCGGATCCCCTGGAGCTAGAGTTGTGGTTGTAATTGCCTGGTGCCAACCCTGAGGACTGAACTCCGGTCCTCTGCAAGAGCAGTGCACCCTCATAATTACCCAGTCAGCTCTCCAGCCCCCAGCCCCACCCCTACGATCTTTAGAATAAAGAGTAACCCAGGAAGAATTGAGTTTTGGAAAAATATGATAACCTGGATTCTGAACATTTCTTAAGCAAACATTTAGTACTCTCAACTCTGCTGATAAACCTGACTTCCTCTGTGCTCCTTGCCTTTGTCTACATTCACTTAACACTAGCTTGTGTCTGTCAGTAAGTAACTTAAATTAGGTCATCCCTTTAATCCCAGCACTTGGGAGGAAGAGTCAGGTGGATCTCAGTGAGTTCTAAGTCAGTCAGGGCTGCATAGTTAAACTTTGTTTTTAAAAAAATTTTTTTTTGTTCTTTAATGACACAAAAGTGGACCTATGGAGGTGTCAGTGGCTCAGTAAACCTAGGCTTGAATATCAGGGCTTGGTGGCAACACCTGTAACCCCAGTGCTGAGGAGCTGAGGCAGGTGGATCCCAGGCTTCACTGACTGGCAAGCCTAGCTGGAATACTGAGAAACCTGGTCTCAAAACAATATGGCCGAGAGGAGACTAAGGAAAGACATCTCAGTGTCAACCTCTGACTGCCTCATGCACACACAGGTGTGCAAGCATGGCACACACACACATGCCTGCATACATTCACACGCATGTCCACACATGCACAATCATAGCACACACACGTGTACAAGCTTGCACACAGAAGACAGCAATCCATGGTGTATCAGTTGTTGTGAACATGGAGGTTGTGGCTTTTAAGTTGTGTACAAGGCCCATTTTGTCAATCATTTTTTGAAACGATTGCTACTTGAGAGCAGGTGTCCATCACATTTTCTTAAGAGTTCAGGTTCCCACATGCCTGTTCTTATTTTGAAACCAGGTAGAGCAATTGAAATTATATTTTTTAAATATCTGTATCTGTCTGTCTGTCTGTCTGTCTATCTTGAGACAGGGCTTTTCTGTGTAGTCCTAGCTGTCCTAGAACTCACTCTGGAGACCAGGCTGGCCTCGAACTCAGAGATCCGCCTGCCTCTGCCTCCCGAGTGCTGGAATTAAAGGCATGCGCCATCACCACCTGGCAGCAATTGAAATTTTAAATACTGTTGTGAGAAGTTTTACAAGTGAAAACTACCTCTAGACAACCATGTAGGTTTTTAGTTTTTGCTGGGTGTTAAATTGTTTTCTGCAGCGGACTTTGCCGCCTCGGAAAGTGGTTTTCCTCTCTGTGGCTCCGCTTTCTCAGCAGAACTGTGAGCACCACAAACCCTGCCTCTTGGACCCCTGTTTTCTTCTCAGTTCAATGCTGACTTTTGAAGGCGGGCTTTAAATGAATCCACCAGACCCAAGATAAATGATAATTACGTATTTATTAGGGAGGCGCTTACACAGATAAGAGTAAATAACCACCGCCGTCTTCCTGCTCAGAAGATGCCGTCTCTGCCCTTCCAGTGCTCTCCACGACCCCAGAGAGCTCGAGCCAGCCCCTCCTCTACCTTACAATGGGTCATATCTGCACCTGAAGCCACGCCCCAGTGGTGTGGCCACCACAAGTTCACTGGCAATGCAAAATGCCAGTACAGACTTTCTAGGTTTGGTTGTTTTGTGCTAGAGAGCCCACTGATGGTGAAAGCTGCTTTTCTGATCTTGTTGGATTCCTGTTCATCCCTGTCCAGGTAGACATCACAAATGCTATAGACAGGCACTCTTGCCAACCATTGAGCCATCGCCGTCTTGTCTCTTGATTCCACTTTGTGTGGTTCGTGTTTGGAGATGGGGTGTGTGAACACATTTGCATGAGCGTGTACGTCACCGTGTAGCCCAGCCTGGGCTTGAACTCACAGTCCGCCTCTGCTCCTGAAAACCAGGATCAAGGATTCTGTGTTGTCATTTTGTTTTCTGATGCTTAGTCTCCAGCATGGTCTCAAGTCCCTGTGTGTCTTTGTCACTCTTACAATGATGAAATGTCAGCCAGGTGTTGGTGACACACGTCTTTAATCCCAGCACAGGGGAGGCAGAGGCAGGAGGATCTCTGTGAGTTCGAGGCCAGCCTGGTCTCCAGAGAGAGTGCCAGGATAGGCTCCAAAGCTACACAGAGAAACCCTGCTTCAAAAAAAAAAAATTGGGGGAGGGAAGGGTTTGTTTCATGTTAACAGTTTGTAGTTCATCGAACAGGGAAGTCAGGAAAGGAACTCAGGCCAGGTAGGACCCAGGAGGCAGGAGCTGAAGCTGAGGCCATGGAGGGTGCTGCTCACTGGCTTGCTCCCCATGGCTTGCTCAGCCTGCTTCTTATAGAACCCAGGACCACCTGCCCAGGGTAGCACCACCCATAATGGGCTGGGCCCTCCTGTTAATCAAGAAAATGGTGGAACAGAGGACAATCTGGCGGCATATTCTCAACTGAGATTTCCCTCTTCCCCAGGTGACTCTAGCTTGTGTCAACGTGACAAAATACCAGCCAGTATAGTCATCTTGTGTCATTTATGTTGAAAAGCTAGCCCAGTGGATATTAAACTGGTTCATATTTCCTCTTCCTGATTAATTTAGATACGTTACTCAAG